GACACGAGCATCATCAGAATCCTGGAATGGAACTGCATTGCCCTAGACAACTGGCAGTTTATTTTGCAGTGCTGCACATATATAGATCGATAGCAATATATGAATACATAGAATAATATAAATGCATATTCTTTATTTACTTTCAAAAATAGATCTGGTGGGTATTATTTTGAGGACTTTAATTAGAAAGTAGTAAAGCACCTAAATATATCTGGGCTGGTTAATCTTCACACTTGAGTTGAAGAAGGAAGTGGCAGAAGGCATTTTGCAGAGCTTAGTAAGTCAAAGCCTGCCATGGCTTCTGATCAGGGTGTTACTACTAGAACTGCTGCTGTGAGTATCAGAAGGGGAGCACAGTGATGCCCGGTACCAGGCAGAGGAAGCAGCCAGTGGAGTTTCTCAGCACTCTGGGGAGGGTGACCATAGCCGCTGTGAAGGCAGCTGGGGACAGGGGTTTGCCCCAGGAAAACCTCACCTCGGGAGAGGGGCTTTGGCACAGGGCAATGCTGTCCTCCTCTCCCATAATTTCTGTACACGTGTGGCATCTGTTTTCTTTCCCAGGGGTCTGGGAGAGAAAGGGTAAGGTTTGTAAGGCAAAGAGGGACTAATCTTCCTGCAAACAGGGTATCCGAGTATTAGCCATTACTGCATTACAGCTGTAAACTCCAAGATATTTCATGAGACCCTCTCATTCCTTGCATTTCTATGAATAAAAAGAGGCCCCTTCCAAACATTAGCTTGGTAAATTTAAGTTGCAGGAGGGAAGAGTGGGCTAATGGAGCTCTCCAGAGGTTGCTTCCCTTTGCCCAAGCAGAGTGGAGTCGGAGATTACAGTCTAACGTAGTCCGTGCACAGAAGAACTGAGGACTAAGAAAACACTTCTTTAAACTTATTTTTAGTAGTACAAGGAAGAGGAGAGTAAGAAAATGAAAAAAGGGTGTATTATATTCCAGGTTTCTATATTGAAATCCATGTCTGAGTGAATGGCTGTTGTCCCAGCTCACTTCCAAGACAGGCATTCATCCTGGGTGGAAGTGGTACCTGTACTAATGCTTATCTTTCGGGCTGTGTTAGGAAGCATTGTGATATTTCTGGCTATATTATATATTAAACTTATGAATATATTAATATGTTCATATTATATAATAT